AATTTTAAACCTGAAAATTAAAATACAAGTACTCACGCATCCAACTTAGACTGACATGAAATTAAAAAACAATAAAAATAATAATTAAATTTCCACACACTATGATTTTAAAGTGAAGTTCTAAATGAGAATTTCAGAGTAAAAATTGAAAGTAAAAATTTACATCAAAAATGATAGGCTGCATAACTTGTGGTAGTGGGGGACTGTGCCACCACTCTCCCTGGAAAAAATGATAGACTTAGGCAGTGAGGGCAAACCTTTCCAAGACTCGAGTGCCCAAACTGCAACCAAAAACTCATTTATTTACTGCAAAGTGCCAACACAACAATTAAACCTGAATACTGAGGTTTCAGTTTAGAAAAAATAATTCATATATTAACATTTTTTGTGTGTGTGTGGAGTGGGAGTCAGGGTCTCGATTTGCAGTCCTGGATGGTTTTGAACTCACTTTGTAGCCCAGGCTGGCCTTGAACTCACAGCCATTCTCCATCCTCAGCCTCCTAAAGTGCTAGGATTACAAGCATGTGCCACCATGCCTGGCTAACATCTTTAAAACACACACACACACACACACACACACACGCATGCATGCGCACATATGCACACACAATAACATGTGTGCTACATATTTACCACCACTGGACTTAGGGATAAATCTCATGGAAGATACGAAAGGCCTATACCCTAAAAAACTATATTGCTGAAATTATAAAAAAACACATAGAAGGAAACATACATTGGTGCTTCAGAAACTCAAGATAGCAATTTTCCCTCAAATGGGTCTATAAATTCAATGCCAACCAAAATCTCAGCAGGAATTCTTACGGATATTCATCATATATGATTCTAAAATTTATAGAACTTACCTTTTTAAAAAAGGACACATTTGGAGAGTTAACAGTACTCAATATCAAGACTAAAACCCTAGTAATCGAGACAGATAGCATTGGCATAGACAGGAGTATACACCAGTGGACCAGAATAGGGAGTGTGAAAATGGAAGTCATGTAGATGGACACCTGAATTTGCAAAGGTGCAAAACAATACAACTGACTTTGATAAATGATAACTTTTCAACAAAAAGCTGAGAACATTTGGATAGCCATAACAAACAAAACAAAAAACACAAATCCTCATAAATCCACACTTTACTTAAGACTAAAATTGATTCCAAATGATATATAAACCCAAGTGTAAAACCTAGAATTACCAAATTTCCCGATGAAAAACGGGAGTACGTTTTGTGACATTGAAGTACATAAATACACATGACACCCAAAGCACAACACTTAAAGAACAAATTGGAAAGTAGAATTTCACCAAAATTCGAAATGTCTGCTTTTCCAAAGAAAAGGGTAAGAAAATGAAAACAAAACCAAAAACCAGTCACAAAGTGAAAGAGGGAGGCTTGCAATACATGTATTTGAAAAAAACAACACGGTGACCTTTTCAATGTGTTGGTTATGATGTCAATAAACTGGGACCCTGACACTGTTGGTGGAAAGAAGTACTATAACCACTTTGAAAAATAATCTGGCAGCTTCTTAACATTCACTTATATTTTGACCCAGTCATCCTGTTCACAATGCTCCAAGGTATTTACCCAAGAGAAAGGGTATTAGGTCTGTTCAAAGATGTGTACCCAAGTGTTCACGGGACCTTTGTCTGTATTTTCCAAAAATAAGAAACAATTCGGATGACCATCAACAGGTGAGTGGATAAAAACTATTATACTCACATAACAGAATGCTACTCAGCAATAAAATGAACTAGTGGTACATGCAATCAAATGAATGAACTTCAAGATAAACATGCTGAGTTAAGAAGTCACACCAAAACAAGTATCTATTATATGATCCACTTGTATAAAACTCTAAAAAATACAAATGTCAGTGACAGAAAAAATGAATGGTGGTTGGTAGGAAAACGAGAAGGCACCCAGGAAGTGCAAAAGAGTGTGTAAGGAAACGTGAGGGGTGATACGTGTGATCATTATTTTAGCTGTGATGGATATATACTCAAAATTTTAGGGGGCTGGGGATTTAGCTCAGCGGTGTAAGCGTCTGCCTTACAAGCAGGCAGTCATGAGTTCGATCCCTGGTACCGATAAAAAGGAAAAAGACAAAAAAAAATTTAAGCTTAGCAAATTGTATGCTTTAAAAATGTTCGGTTTATTTCTATTGTACCTCAATAAAGCTGTTTTGTTTGTTTGTTGTTGCTGTTTGAGACAGGATCTTGCTAGGTAGTTCAGGCTGACCTCAAACTCCCTGGGATATGCTCTTGCCTTGGTCTCCTGAATTCTGAGGCATAGTTACCACTCTCAGTAATAATGCTATATTTTAAAATCACAATTTATTGAGAGATATAACCAGAGGCTTTCACTATAAAAAAAAATTACCCACTTCATTAACTGAAATCAATCATTTCAAAACCTCCCTACTAACGTCCAGCCAGCATGATGGTGCATGCCAAAAATCTCAGCACTTGGGAGGCTGAGGCAGGAGATTCACTTCAATTTTAAGGCCAGCCTAGGCTATGTAGTCAGTTCAGTTCAAGACCAGCCTGATCTACATCATAAGACCCTATCTCAAAAAAACAATTCCATTCACTTAATAAGTATCACAAGTCCAAAATGTAAAGTCACTATTTACAAAATTATTTCAATTAATGTAAAAGCAAGTTATATTATAATGTATTCATACTGGCTGGATGAAAAAACTTTAGGGACAGGGAAAAACATGAGCTCTCTATGACTAAGGAGAAATAAGTGTCAGTATGACAAAGAGAAGGGGAAAATAAAAATAAACAGGAGCCAAGCCTAACGGTGAAGCCAGTAAAACAGATTGATTCCTATGCTTATTAGACAACAATATCTGAATATGGAGAAAGGCATGGTGTTCAAGTTAACAGAAAATAGCTTGGCATTATTCAGAAGTTCAGTAGTTAATACTAGAGAACATGGGGCTGGGGATTTAGCTCAGCAGCATAAGCCGCCTGCCTTGCAAGCAGGCAGTCGTGAGTTCGATCCCTGGTACCGATAAAAACGAAAAAGACAAAAAAAAAATACTAGAGAACATGATATAACAAAATCAATATGTATCTCTGTATCATGAGATAATCAACACTATAATTGCAAAATAAACATCATGAAGTTACTTCACTAAACATTACCTTAAAATTTGTTCATCCAAAATTGGTTAGATGATGTAGCAATCATAATTGTTAAATTGTTTCATTTGTATTTAAAACATACCTGCATAAATAATTACGAAAAAATTCTAAAAGTTTTATTAACAAATGCTCTTTTCTACTTATATAATACTATAATTTGTCCAAGTTGTAGATGACTTACAAGTAGTGTTTCTTGGATTTATGAATGGGTATTAAAAATTTAGTGGTTATCTTGAGTTAATATATTTTATTTTAAAATATCTCAAAATTCAGCTTTTTAAAATCTTTTTTCCATTATTTGGATGGGGAGGCTGTTTTGTAATGCAGGGTTCCTTTGAACTCACTATGAAGTCCAGGCTGGCCTCAAACTCACAGAAACCCTCCTGCCTCTGCCTCCTGAGTGCTGGAATTATAGGCATGCACCACCATACTCAGTGATTATCTGTTTTTGGAGATCTATTAAAAAGTTAGCATTTATTTTTTTCCCCCAAGTTAGGCTGAAAAGGAGAAAGTAAAATCCAGATGTGTAAAAACAAGTAAATGGAGTTATATACAAATGAAAACAAAAAGACAAATCTTAATGGTATTTCTGATGACCTTTTACAAGTTAAAGAGAAAAGCCTTAGAATGAGACCTATCCTGTTGACGCGTTCATCTTGGATTTCTCATATCCTGAATAACAAGAAAGTAACACTTCTGTTGTTTAAACCATAAAAAGTTAAATGTACTGAAATATTTCACAGTATACCCTGAAACACATTATTCAGTAATTTCAAAATGGAGTAACATTCAATATATTTTTAACGAACTAGTTAAAACCCAAACAATAGGGGCTGGGGATTTAGCTCAGCGGCATAAGTGCCTACCTTGCAAGCAGGCAGTCATGAGTTTGATCCCTGGTACCGATAAAAATGGAAAAGACAAAAAAAAAAAAAAAACCCAAACAATAATAAAATTTACTTGCTGCTACCTTTGAGATTTTTATTCTTTTATGTGGGAGATAGGGACATGCTTTACTATAAATGCTTTTATTTTTATAAACGCTACTTTTAAAAACGAGAAATACAACAAAATGTGAGATTTCAAGTTTTAAAAAAAGAAAAGTACCAAATATATGAAAATGTAACAATAACAGATAAATAGGTTTAAAGTAAGTTTTTCGATGGGGTCTCAAGTTGCCCACGTCTCAAACTCATGGGCTCAAACAGCCTTCCCAAATCAGCCTCCTAAGTAAATAGCAGAGACTAGTCATGTGCCAGTAATTCTTGGCTAAAATATGGCTATCAGAATTTCATAAAATCAATGTACTATTAGAAAGTTATATAAAAATCTTTTAATTTGTTAAAGTGAAGTGCATAGAAAAAGGTTCTCATTTGAATTTCTTTAAAAAACAAAACAAAACATCTTTCAGGGCTGAGCCTGGTAAGTCAGGTTTGTATTTCCAAAAATCTGAGTAAGAGACTAAGGTAGAAGAATCACAAATTCAAGTCCAGCCTGAACAACTCACTGACTCAACAAGATCCTATCTGAAAGTAAAACTTTAACAATGAGCTGGGGATATACCTCAATTCCCAGTACCACCAAAAAAAAAAAAAAAAAAAAAAAAAAAAAAAAAAAGTCATGAAATAAAAGGAATTGGACTGGGGATTTAGCTCAGCAGCATAAGCACCTGCCTTGCAAGCAGGCAGTCGTGAGTTTGATCCCCGGTTAGGGGGAAAAAAAAAGGAAATAAAAGGAATCTCGTAAGGCACAAGTTTCACTAACCATGCCAAACACCCCCCCCCCCCAAGCATTCCAAACTCACTCAGGAAAAACACGAGATATCCAGGTACTTTGAAATTCAAGGCTTTTAATTCAGTTTTTGGTAATGACCATAAATGCCTCCATGAAGCCTTTTTCACCGTAAATAGAGGGTACTAGCCATTACATACCACCCTTAAAGCAGTGATTCCTTCTAATGCTGGTGGAGATAAAACATTAAATGGCAGTTTAGATAACAAAGTCTTCTTTTAAAAAAAAAAACTACTCTGAAGAACAAAAATTAAGTTATCAACCAGTCTTTCTCAGATTTCCAAAGTAACTTAAATTATTCTTACAAATACATAATTTGAAATTAAGATAAACTGGAATAGTATGTTTTTCAACATGTGTTAAGTTTCAGTTAAATACAGTAAAAATAAAGATACCATTATCACACTAATGGGCATCTTTTGCTACTCTACCTGTGCAAAATAAACTTGAAATGATATATCCTGTAGTGGTACAGTTTTTAAGATACTTGATATGACACTAACAATTTTCAAATTGTGGTCACAAACTATATATAAATTGTAAGAGTATTAAAATACAACTTTTTGAAAAATAATGAGATGACCATAACTAAATAAAATTTCCTACAAAGTTATGAAATACTTCGGCATATAAAAGTAGTTACCCCTCTTCTGAAGGAACAACTGTTGTTTCACAAAATAACCCATATGATCCAAGGCAAACGATTTCTTCCAAACGCTGTATTCTCTCTGTGACTTAGAGGTACCCTTCAAGACACTGAATCCATAAGAAAAGGGCACATTGGATATTAGACCACAGGCACAAACATAAGAACCTTTCTTGGAACAGGAGTGCTCTTATGTTTTAATAGCCACAGAGAACAAGAGATAGCTTTTGGAGCCATTTCTTTTACAAACACAACTAAATTTGGTTGTGTAGGAGATAATTGAGACACAACTATTTACATATGTGCTATATTGTGTGTGCCTATTTTAAATACTGGCTTTTGCAGGTCATTCCCATTCAAACATAAATCAAACAATCTTACTATATCAAATCACAATCTTCTATTTTTGGCAAGGTAGTATACACAAAAGATAAATTTAAAAAAAATGATTTAGGCAAAAGTTCCAAAGTCAAGCAACAAAAAGTGTTCTGAGAAAGCCAGGTGTGGTGGCGCAAGCCAGTAATCCCAGCACTCAGGTGGCTGAAGCAGGAGGGTCATCATAAATTCAAGGCAAGCCTGGGCTCCACAGTGAGTTCAGCTTGAGCTACATGGGGAGACCTTGTCTCAAAAAACTCAAACGAATAAAAAAGTGTTCTGAGAAATATGAATTTTGGGGAAGTAATACTGTCCAACAAATAATGTGGGAAATATATTCTATAATCACTCAACTAGCACAAAAAAGGCTTACAGATATGTTTGAAATAATAGCTCCATTTAAAAACAGCTGAAAAACACCCTTGAGAAGTGGGGTCTGTGGGCAACCCACTTTTGGGAACCTCTTGTGTCTCACTGAGACAGAAGCTTACTTTCTCTCAATAAATTCTTCCTACTCTTAAAAAAAAAATAAATGAAAACAGCTGATTATGAAGTTCATAATTAAAATGCCTCCATTTTCATTAGCTTCTACAGGCCCAACTAGTGAAAGGCAGAGAAAATAAACTTTTACATAATTACCACAAGATGCTTTCTTGAGGACTGGGGATTTAGCTCAGCGGCTCAAGTGCTTGCTTGGTAAGGGCAAGGTCATGAGTTCGATCCCCAGTACCAAAAAACAAAAAAAAAAATTTTTTTTTTTTAAAAAAGATGATTTCTTGACTTCAAGAAAACCAAAATTTTGAAAATGGTAGGGGAAAAAAAAGTGAAATAAGATTTGGCCATACAGTGTCTGTCTGGCAAGTGCGAGGTCATGAGTTTGATTCCCAGTACAGAACAAAACACATACATACTCACACAAAAATATCTGGACAAGTGAGATTCAGTCTCAAAAAAAAAAAAAAAATGCATGACCAATGAAAAAACTACCATGCATACTAATAAGCAAGATGAGAAGAAAAATATTTTTAAGCAATGATTATTCAATAGAATGCTTATAAAATTACATATAATCAAGCTAAAAAAAAAGCTCAAAACTAGCAGCTGGACTCTGAAACATGTAGGACAACAGAAGGCACTACATAAGCATCAATTACATCTAACTATAGTTAGACAGTTCAGTCTTTTCCTTCTTAAGATGGCCAGTGTGAACATTAATTTCATATCCCCCTGAGTTTTAGTATGTTTGGGCAAAGCAGCACCAGTTTAAAAAAATATCTGCAATGCCAGCACTGCAGTATGGAATCACTTATACTGATGGCCCCACAGGTCTCTCATAAGAGCACTTTAAAACATGATTAAAAATATAGAAATGCCTTTCGGTGTTTCAGTATTAAAGTGGAACAACCACAAATACCCATTTTTAAAAATAATGCACCAAAAAAGTCTATTTGTACAATACAGCTGTCCCACCCTGTGTCTAGCATTTTCCATTCTGCAGCATGGAGACATTGCCTTCGGTGTCCGTCGAAAAGTCAGTATGCTTCATGGTGTACAACCCTTTTAGGCTGGAGTAAAGGTCATGTCATGCCCGTTTTGAGCAGTATGCTTTGGAGATCTTCTGGCAAGGCTAGGATGATTGCATCAATATGTGTCCGTAACTTTTCCATAGTGTCAGGCTTCACAGGTAAATGCTCTCGACCAGCCTGCAACTACATAAGGAACATTTGGCAGCATTTACATAAACCCATATTTATATATTATATTCTTTATATAAACAATTTGAATAGTTTAACAACTAGGAAACTTTAGTCTTAGACTAAAATTTATAGAAACTAAAAAATAGAAGCACATACTGTTTACATTTCTGAGATCAACAAATTTCTAAATTTGTAGATAAAATATAGTATTAAATATAAATGACATTTTTGTAGTGTTCATTAGTCTCCATGTAAATATCTCTAGAATAATATTGCATCATTATGATCTGCCTGAGTGACCTCTAATTCAAAGTTACTTCTGAGACAGGACATGAATCTTCAGTTCAGGTGGAAAGAAAGTATCTTCACAGAAAAATATTGATTTTCATCTGATTTGGCTACATACCAGCTTATTTTTCAGCTTCAATACAAGATCTACTGTTTCTACTTCTGTGTGTTTCTGGATCCAGAGAAGTAGGTCCTAGACAACAGACAAAATCCTAATCAATAGCTACTCAAAATAGTATTTATACTTCTGCTTCAATAGGCAAGGGTAATGAGAAAGGAAGACAAAAGGGAGAGGAGAACAGGATAGTCAACTCAGATACAGAATCACAATACAAGAAAAATTTCATGATATCCTAGAAACTGTCAACTAATATTCAGAATTAGCCAGAATAACTGTCTAATACTTGGAAGTAAAACAAAATGCAAGGGAAGTACTTTCTAAAGCTATATCATTTGCAGATACAAAGTCCCTACAATGAATGTGATCATTCTGCATAGTTAAATTGTATCAATACATTTAATAAGAAAAAAGAAAAATACTTTCTGAGGTGGCTCTTTTAGGTCAAGAAAGACAAAGAAAAGTGTAGCTTACTACAATACTAACCTCTACCAGTACGGTAATGAATACTTTATCAGGAATATCACCTAATAAATCAAGATGACTAAATACAAATGTACTACAGGCTGTAAACTTTGCATCTCCAAATATGCTCTCCTTGGGCTCACTTTGTGGTTGCCTCTGTTGTATTCTTTTTATGAAAGCCACAGTAACTGGAAGTTTATTATTAGAAACAACATTGAGGTTAAATTACCTCAAATGTAAAGCTAAATAAAAATAAGTCTATTGTATTTTCACTTGCAGTTTAAAGTAGTCTGGTAATAAATCATAGAATATGAAAAATCAGTCCAAGCACATGAAAACAAAGTTGATACTAACTGGAAAAGGTGACTAAGTCATAATGTGTAAGAGTTGGAGACTGCCAACACTTGAATCCTGACTCCCTCCAGTGGTGTGCTAGTAAATATTTAACAACCCATTCTTTAGAAAAAAATTTCTTGCTCACAGCATTGGCCAGCTTCTACTGTAGGTGATTTCAGCCTTCCAACCTGAGGTAACTGAAGGCAGAACTGGGAAGATATATGCACAGTTAGCTCTCCTGAACCAATGCAAGAGCACCCGGTACACTTCTTGCTTACTACTTAGCAGTGAGGTGAACCAAGGCAAGCCATGCACCTTCTAAGCCACAGCTGTTGCATAAGGCAGCTCATATGCCTGCCAGTGAACTGTGAAGATTAAGGGAGTTTATCTGTATAAAGCACCTATACACTCACTGCCTGGTATGACACATGACCTAGATAAATTAGCTCTTTTTACTAGGTATAAAGGAAGAGATGTGGGTATTCAACCTCTAAGCATTATTTTTACTTTCAACAGCTGTTAGTCATCACACAAACACACTGTTTTCTAACCTCTTCACAGAGAGCTTCTAGATGGAGTGCTTCCAACTTTTGGGTCATTTCTTTCCGCCGGGTTTTGAACCAACCATCAAAATTTGGAGACTTCAGAAAATGCCTATAAAAATAAATTTTAAAAAAGCGAAGTCTGACTATGGTTGACTTCCCCACTTTAATACATTTCTTACTGACAGCTCTAAAAATCATGATAATAGAATTTTTCAAAAAGAATCTAAAAGCTTAAGGCTAGTTTTCTGTTTTGTTTTCTTTTGAAATATAGATCTACTGATGAGTAGGAAGGAAAGGGAAAAGACTAACCGGTAAAGTCCAATCCAGTCGCCTTTTATTCTAGAGGTCAGCTGTGGTCCTGTTTTTTCAAGTGTTTTCATAAACTCTTCTGGAAGGAACTGTCTTAACTGGGGTGGGCTCTAAAGGACAATATGCACTATACTTACAAACTGGAAGTGTACAGTTTATACTCAAAGAAGGTAACTGCATGTACAGAATTCAAATAGGGATTTACTGGAATATTTTTACCTTCCACGGAGAAATAGTTTTCTGCAAAGGCATCAAGCTTGCCACGTATCTTTCCTAAAAACAAAGAAAAGTCAATAAAAGGCATTCTTACCTATACCATCTGACACAGAAGTCTTAAAACTTTCTTATTAAGGTGGGTCACAGTAACCCTCACCTTCCCCTCTGTTTCTGGGAATTGCTGACAATAAACAAAATCTCGGATCTACCTTGTCTGATAGTAAAAGACAAGACCCCATTTCAGAAGGGGTTTTGGTCAACATTTGTGAGGAAGGGATGCTGAAGAATCAGGACAGAACCTACCGGCTTTCCATGCCCATTCTATGAGCATTAGGCCAGATCCTTTTTGTACAACCACATTTTGAGACACTTACCCATGCTTCAAGCATGCCTATTCAATGAGTTCTCCATAAAAACCCCCAAAATGAGCCAGGGATTATGATGCGTTCCTATAATTTCAGCACTCTAGGAGGCTGAGGCTGAAGGATCACGATTCAAACCCAATTTAGTGACTTAGGAGAGCCTTCTCAAAAAGAAAAAACCAAACCTAACCAAAACACCCCCAAATTTTTAAAAAGGCTATGGCTGAGTGTGGGGCACATGTCTATAATCCTAGCACTCAGGAGGCTGATGCAGGAGGATCACTGTGATTTCAAGACCAGCCTGGGCTAGATAGTGAGTTCAAGGCCAGTGTGAACTACACTATGAGATCCTGTCTTAAAAACAAAACAAAACCAAAACAAACAAAAACTATATATATTATATATATGTTATAACATATATATTATAAAATATGTTATATTTATTATATGAAATATATATATATATATATATATATATATATATATATATGGCTGGGGATGTAGCTCAGTGTGAAGGCCCTGGGTTCAATTCCTAGTACTATAAAAAAGAAAAAGGAAAAGAATACAGAGTTTCTACATAGCTGAGGTTCCTAGAGAGCAGTGACTGCCCTCTTTTCCTATGTCTTACTCTATATATCTCTATTTATATTCTTGTAATATTCTTTATAATAAACCTGTTAAATGTGTCCCTGAATTCTATGAGATTGAGTTGGGAAGTCACAATTTCAATGTAAGTTTAACTAAATCTCAGACAATCCAAGAAATATTTTTGTTTTGTATTTTGCTTTTTGAGGCAGGGTCTCAGTATGTTCCCCAAGGTAGTTTCAAACTTATGGGCTCAAGTGATCTTCTCACCTCAGCATCTCAAGTTGCTGAGACAATAGGTATGTGTCACCTTGCCTGGATCAGATTCTTAATGACAATAATTAACCTTACTAAGTGCCAGAAAGTGTATGTAACATTTTATATGCATGATCTCTCATATTCCTTCCAGCTATCCTATAAGGTGGGTATTACTGGGAAACTAAAATTTCAAAAGGCTAAATAAACTGGCCAAAATAAATCATCTTAGATAACAATTTTTGTCTATATGAATTTAGTTTCTACTTTTTAACACTACAATAAAGTTAATTAACTTAAATAGATTTTTCCCCCTACACTGTTAGGCATTTAACACTGAGCCTCACATATACTAGACAGTTGCTTTACTGCCGAGTTATAACTCTTAGTTTGACATACAGGCTTAAATGGAACAAAATTAACTGACATTCTCACACCAAGAACATTCCATAGGATGTTCACAGGTAAATTATATTAATAACTATGTAAAATCAATGATTCAGTTTCCAGATTCAGCTCACTATATCATGATGCTGCTTATTTATAAGACATTCCTGAGTTTCTTAAATACCCATCTCATGTAGTCATTTACTCTACAAATATTTGTGTTGAAATGCTTCAAGCCCTAAAAGAAAACAACTTCCAACCCAGACTAATATGGCCTTCAAAACTATTTTAGTGGAAAATAAGATATTTCCATGACAAAGAGCACTGACTATCAAAACAGCACTCTGAAAAATTCTCAAGGATATCCTAAAAAGAGACAATGAAATCAACAATGCCAAAAAAGTCCAATAAAATTAATACAAAACTGCTAGGTGTGGTGATGCACGCCTGTAATCCCAGCACTTGGGAGGCTGAGGCAAGAGGATTGTTGTGAGTTCAAGACCAGCCTGGGTTTCAAAGTAAACTCCAGACCAGCCTGAACTACATAGTGAGACCCTGTCTCAAAAAAGACAAAATAAATAAAATTAATACCGCAGGCAGGGTGAGCAGAAGTAGAGTCAGTAACAGAAAAACAGGAATAAGGTTACTCCCAGTAACAACTCTCAAGATGAATCTCATTCCCCAGTCAAAATACAAAATGGATCAAACGGCAAAATTCAAAAGTATGCTGTATACAAGAAACACATGTAGGACCAGGCAAATAGCTCAGTGGTGTAAGTGCTTGCCTGGCAAGTGTGATTCAGTTTGATTCCCAGTAGCAAAAAAAAAAAAATTTGGATTACCCAAAAAGAGGCAATAACAATTATAAACACACATACACCTAGAAATGGCACACACAATTTCATAAAACAAACATAAATGGACATAAAAAATCACACAAACATCAACAGAATTATAGTGGGAGACCTCAATACCTCATCATCACAAATAAACAGATCAATTACATTGAGAGTCTTGAAGTTGGAAATTGAACACACATGCAGGGCTGCCACATGGTCAAGGCATGGCAGACCTGAGAACAAAGAGACACCTCAAAGGGCAAGATAAGGCCACAGCGGAGGAACCTGGTTCCAGTCCCAATTCACAAGATAGAGACTGCAGCTGCAGGCATTTTACTCAGGTAGTGAAAGTCAATCTGACTTTCTCCTAAAATACTAGATTCTGCTCAGTTTCCTGCATTTTCTACTTTAACCCCTTCCTTGTTTGAAAAATTAAATAAATACGGGCTTCCCAGAGGCATTCCTTGTCCTACCCCCGCAGAGTCTGAACTCTGCAATAAGGTTTTGATCCTCCTGGAACCCTAAAATCATACCACTTGTTTCACTTATTTTAGGCTTTCACCATACACTTGTTTGGGAGGCTGGGGATCCTGGCCAGGTCCCCGATACAATTAGACAAAAAATATCAACAAAGAAATATCAGAGTTGAACCCAATCTATGAACAAAATGACTCAATTGATATCTAGTGTTCTTGTAACGACAGAATACACATTCTTCTCGGCAGCACATGGGACTTTCTCCAAAACACACCACATACTAGCCCATAAAGCACACTTTAGTAAGCGCAAAATAATGAAAATTATCCCATGTATATTATCAGACCATAGAACAATGAAACTAGAAATCAGTGGCAAAAGAAATCACGTAAGCATTATCAATGTGTGAAAACTAACAATACTCTTAAATAATCAACGAATCAGGGAAGCAATCAGTTCCTAGAATCAAAAATGCATAGATCAATAAACATATAAATAGAAGCAAGGATGAAATCACACAATCATCTCAATTGACAAAGAGAAAGTCTTTGACAAAATCCAACCTCCATTTAGTGATAAAAACTGCGAAAAAAAATTGGTATAAAAGGACCAAAAGCCATTTAAGACAGACCTCCTGCCAACACCATATTAAATGCAGAAAAACCTAAGTTTTCCCTCTAAAATCAGGAACAAGTCAAGGATGGCTCCTTCAAAATAGTACTGTACTCAAACATTAGCCGGAGCAATCAAGCAAGAGAAAGAAATAAATGAGATATGCATAGAAAAGTAAGAAGTCAAATTATTGTTTACAGACAACATAATCCTCTACATAGAAGAGGCAAAAAATTCTGCCAAGAGACTTCTAGAACAGCCAAATTTAGTAGCATTACAAGACACAAAATCAACACACAAAAATAAATAGTATAATTCTATGCCAATAATGAAATTACTGAGAAAGAAATTAGGAAAATAGTATCATTCATAATAGCATCAAGAAAGGTTAAATTATCCTAACCAAGGAAAGGAAAGACCTCTATAAATAAAACTATAGTACTCTGAAAAAGAAGGCTAAAGAAGACATCAGAAATTGGAAAGATATACCCTGTTCCTGAATAGGCAGAACCAATATTGTCAAAATGAGGTAAGTTTCCAAAACTGATAAACAGACTTAACACAATCCAAATCAAAATACCAATAGCATTCCTCCCAAAACTAGAGAAAACAACCTTAAAATTCATATGGAACCACAAGAGGCCTAAAATAGAACAAGAGTAAAACAAGAGTAAAACATCACAAGCCCAGACTTTTAAATTACACAGTGATAAAGACAGCATGGAATTGGCACAAAAACAGACATGTGGGTCAATGGAATGAAATAGAGCATGCAGAAAAAAACCCTAGACATATCCAGCCATCTGGTCTTTGACAAAGAGGTGAAAAGCACTCGCTAGAGGAAAAGACAGCCTCTTTAGCAAACGGTACGAGAAAAACTGGCTATACACATGCGGAAGACTAAACCTGAACCTGTATGTCTCATCATGGATTAAATTAAAATCAAATGAATTAAACACCTACATGTTAAAACAGAAGCAATCATTTGGAAAAGTAGGTAAAACTCTTTCATTTATGTATTTATTTTCTGTTTTTTGAGAGAGGGTCTCACTCTGCAGTCCAGGCTGGCCTTGAACCCAGTATACAGCAGGAACCCTCCTGCCTCAGTCTTCCAAGGGCTGGAACTACAAGCATGCATCACAATGCCTAGCTATAAAACTCTTGGAAGGCACACACACGGATAGATTCCCTCAACAGAACCCCAATTGCATAGGAAACGTCAAGAGAGCTGAGTGTGGTAGCCCATACCTGCAACTCCACCACATGGAAAGCTGAGGCAGAAAGACTACTATGAGTTCCAGGCCAGCTTGAGTAACAGAATGAGGCCTTGTCTCAAACAAACAAACAAACAAACCCTAAAGAACAAAAAACAAAGAAAATAATATCAAGCATCAACAAACAGGACCATAGCAAATTAAAAAGCTACTACACAGCAAAGGAAACAACTAAGAAAGTGAAGAGATATTCAACAGAATGGGAAAAAATTTGCCAGTTATGAGACAAAGGACAAACACCGAATAAAGGACTCAAAAAATTAGACTCCCTCAGAATAAAAGGCTAAATCAAAAAGCAGGTATCTAAAATGAATAGACATTTTTCAGAAGAAGTACAAATGGCTAATATGAGAAAAAAATGCTCAACCTTTCTGGGCATTAGAAAAAGGCAAATTAAAACAACATTGAGGGGGCCAAGAATTTAACTCAGTAGTATAAGCACGTGCCTGGCAAGCAGGAAGTGGTGAGTTTAATCCCTGGTTAAAAAAAAAAAGATTAAAAAACAAAACAAAACAAAAAACCCAAAACATTGAAATCTCATTTTAGCCCAGAAAAAAGAAATGGCCATCATCAAAAAATCAAATAATAACAAAAGCTGAAGAGGCTGTGGGGGAAAAGGAACCCTTAAACATTGTGGTGGGAATGTAAAGTAGTATAACCGTTATGGAAATCAGTATCAAGATTCTTCAAAAAACTATTCCCAGCTCTTCCACTTCAAGGTATCTTCCCAAAAGAGGCAAAGACATCATATCACATGTATATCCGTGTGTTCAGCAGCACAGTTCACAACAAATCTTAAAAATGGCCTGTATGATTATTACAGATGAACGGATAAAGAAATTGTGGGGTTTATACACAATGAAGTACTATTTTGCCGCAAAGCAGGACAAACGAGTCATTTATAGGAAAATTAATTCCATGTTAAGTAAAATAGGTCAGCCGGGGGTTTAGCTCAGTGGTGTAAGTGCCCGCTTGGCAAACATGAGGTCATGAGTTCAATTCCCGACACACATACAAAAAAAAAAAAAGAAAGTAAAATAAGTCAGACACATAAGCTTAAATATCACGACTTCTCTTGAGAAATGCAAAATATAAATAAAGAGCAAAATAAAAGATAACAGGAAATAGGGAAGGGGACAAATACAGGAAGGTTGGTGTCGTCAGGGGAGAGGGGATGAGAGAAGATGAAGATGTGTTACGCACATGAACCAGCTTGTAACAGCAAAGAACCACATACACATGGCCACAGACAGCTGAGGTTTGGATCCACATGACAGAGAAAAGCCACATCATGATCATGACTTTCTATAAATGAAAGTAAGTTTATTATAAAAGTACAGCAGATACGAGCACAGTCCAGTAATACACTGTTACCACACAAAGAGGCAGGGGACAGCAACGAAGAGAACTCTTGGAGCCTCTGGCGGGCGGAAGAGAAAACGCTGACACTACACTGTTTGTTTCTTAAGTAGGTGTTCAGACAAAAGTGGCTGGGTGCCAACAGGCCTGCGTATCTTAGAGCAGTGTCTTGGGTCTCACTAAACCAAGGACGGTCTCACACTGCACTCATGGCTATCTGCACGTAACATTCTCTCCCAGGGGAAATAGCCAGTTCTCAGTAGAAAGGCATCAGCCAAGGCGACCACCATTTCAGTAACTCTCATCACTTTTAACTCTTCTCTGACACAGCTCCCCATGAGGAATGTAATCACTGTAAGCAAGCACATACAAATGAAAAAATCTGAACAATTTATGTGCTACCATAAGCCAAACAGAGGAAATCATAATAGTAATCATAATCTGTTATCATTGAGCTATAATCAGTGGGTATATGAAACTGTTCAGAAGACAATTATCAGAGAAAGAAATTCCTTAGTAACCCCCAAACTCAATAATGGCATAATTTTCACATTGGTTTGACTAAGGGCACAAGCTTCCCACCTGCCCAGACCTGATCAGGCAGCCAGGCAGCCAGAGTCATTTCCTGGCCCATGCCACAAAGTAGTTCCCAAAAGCAGAAGAAGAATCTACATGGCCCCTAGGTTGAATTATACTTGAGCAACAATGGGTACTGGGACTGTGTTCCAGCCTCAGTTCTGCTTGTAACAGTGATATGGAAAAATACTGCTGGGTGCCCAGCCATGAATTTGGATGTAACAGCTGCAGGAGTTCTCACTGTGGCAACCACCTCACTCACAGACACCCTAAGAGCGTCTGAAACATATGCCCATAGCATTAGGGAAAGAAGAACTTGTAGTCCCAGAAAGATTACATTAAAGACAGGAAAGAACCAAAAAGCATCTTGAAGAAAACTCAGATAGGATACATGACTTGTCAAGTTGGCCTGAAAATACTCTTCTAACACGAGTTCTTCTTGAAGTATACAAAATGTAGCATGAAATAACACTAGCTCTATGAAGAATGGGGCATCTTCTGGGAAGAATCTCTATTCCTCCGCTAGCCATCAGACTGGGGAATTTAGAGATGCCTCTGACAACCTCCACAAGCACCTAATTAATGAATTGGATCTGATTCTGTTCATACAGTGATTACCTGAGTTGATCACAGTTAACATGATCCTTGGATGCTGCTGTACTTGCTAATCTAAATGCTGCATTCCTAATTCAGTAAAACTAAAGAACAGACACTAAAATTAGACTAACTTTTACCTACAGGATTAATCAGTAAGTATGTCAAGCTTACTAATATCTACTATAGCAAGTGGTCAAAAATTCGTTTCAACATTAGTTCTAACTACCTAGTATAAATAATTTTAGTATATTAGTTATGATGTATTTTAAAAATTACTATGTAAACCTTGAAAAAGTGAATACTATTGATATTAAAATCACTACCCATTAAGAGATTCATTCAAAATAAATATTGGGGCCTTATTGTCACAGGACAGTCAAAAGTATTAGATGTTTAATTTAAATGGTTGCAGGCCACTGAAGACTACAGTTAGTTGAAGTGGTGGTAATCTCAAGTACTCTGGAAGGCTGAGGCAGGAGAAGGCAGGTTTGAGCACAGCCTAATCAATTTAACAAGACCCTGCCTCAAATATTAAAAGAGATTAAAGATGTACTTTAGTGGAATGCCCTGAGTTCAATCCCCAGGGAAAGAGAAAGGCAGTAAGAGGAAAAGGGAAGTTAAAAAAAACACTTTTAACTGTGCTAATTTTTCTTTTCTTTCCTCTCTCTCTGTCTCTCTCACTCTGTGTGTGTGTGTGTGTGTGTGTGTGTGTGTGTGTGTAGGGGGGATGTTCTGATTTAAACCCACGAACTCGAGCATGCTACTTATTAAGTAAAAAATAAAAATCAAAGTAGAGCTACAAACTCTACTGCATGGTTCATACACTAAACTGCTCTTGCTTTTGCTGTATAAGGACTTCAACTTCTGACTGCTGGGCATCTTAAGTGATCAGATTTCTGTCAAAGGTATCTTTGTGGTAAATTTTTTAGTTTTAATTACTTGACTACTGGCTTTAATTTCATGATTTGTGTTCAATTTTCTTAAAATCAGCTTTAGCCTAAGCAAATCTGTGTCTACTTTAAAAGACTGGAAATAGGGGCCAGGGATTTAGCTCAGTGGCATAAGTGCCTACCTGGCAAGACTGGAGATAGAAAAATAAATTTTGCCAAATTTTAAAAATTCATGTCAATTATCTCGTTTCACAACAAACCCAGTGTAGTGGCAAATGCCTGTAGTCCCAGCTACTTAGGGGTTTAGGCAGGAAGATCAGTTGATTTCAAAAATTAAAGAACAGCAAAGGCAACATAACAAGACCCCCATCTCAAAAAAAAAAATTTTTTTTTCACATGACAGCTACCTAGGAGAAACAGAATCTGCCTTACATATAAAATAAGAAAAGTGAGAATCAGAGGTAAAAAGCAACTTAACAACATTGTATAGTTCATACCAAAAAAAGTTATATATATATGTCTTTTGCAAAAGTCTCTCTGAAATCACTTTCCAGGATAACAATGTAACTTAAGGTTAGAAGGACAGGGAAACATTTATATACCCTTTAACAAATCATCAAACCAAGCAAAGATTTGTTAACTTACTAATGGAATGATAAAGCTTTGTGTCAATTCCAAAAAATATCTTCGAAGAATGACGCTTTGAGCCTCAGAAGGACGTTTCTGCTGCACACCCTTAGAAAAGAGGAAACAATGAGAAATGCAGATTCTGGTGTCAGGAAACATAAAACATAAGTACCAAGTTCATTGCTTTGTGAATACACACTTATACTTGATATTAAAAAAACCCTTTGACTTGAAGTAATTTAATTTGAAGTCTATTATGTCATTATCATGTTAAAAGAATCCTTAGGCAAAGCTGCAAAGAGCCAAGGGGGAAGGTGGAGAAGGAAAGGTTGATGAATGGGTAATAAGTTACAATTAGGAACTAGAAGTTCTGACATGTGACATATACAACTTAACAAGTATTTATTTATTTATTTATTTATGTGTGTATGTGGGGGGGTTTTTTTGAAACAGAATTTTGTTATGCAGTGAGCTGGCCTTGAACTTATTTTGTAGCCCAGGGTAGCCTTGAACTTGAGACAATCCTCCTACCTCAGCCTCCCGAGTACTAGGAGTACAAGCATGTGCCATCACACCTGGCCACATACCTAACAATTATGTACTTTAACTCTTAAAAACAGAAGGTAGAACTTTTGAGTATTTTCATTATAAAGAAATGACAGGTCAGATGTATAGTCCAGCAGCACAGCACCTGCCTGGCAAGTCTGCGGTGCTGAGTTCAATTCCCAATACCCACCCCACCACCACCACCAAAAGATAAATGTTTGAAGTCAGGTAAGTTTAACTAGATTTAAATATAATAGCATACACATATATCAAAACATAAAACAGTACTTCATTAATATGCACAATTTTACATTTTTATGTATCAGTTAAAAATTAATTTTAAAAAAATAGAATGGTGCAAAACCTAAGAGATTTCAGTGTGGGGTGACAATTTTATTTTATATTTGCTATATTAATACTGTTTTTTTTTAAATGCTAACTTACCTCCTACTGTTAGATGTTAACTACCTCAAAATAGGACCTGTGACTATTCATTATAACACCAAAGTTCCTAGAATGACTGACATTTGTTTGTAGCTGCTACCCCAATATTCAAGCCTGTAATTGAATACTGCTACTTTAGTTTCTTGGTTCTTTTTGGGAGGCTGTGTTTTGAGACATGGTCTCACTATTTATGTAGTTCACACTTTGAACCTTGAACTCATTATGTAGCATAGGCTGGCCTTGAACTCACAGAGATCCACTTTTGCCTCAGCCTCCTGAGTGTTGGGAATAAAGGCATGTACTACTTGGCTTTTCTAGATTCTTAGGAAATTTTGGTTTAAAAGTAAAACTCCGTTTCACATTATTATATACAAGGCTCATGTTGCCTAAATGGATATTACATACCTAACAAAGAGATTGAAATTTAATAATATGAGCAAGTCATTACCTTCTGTAATTGTTTTATGATCTCTTCATCTCTATTTAGATATGGCTTGTAAGAAGTATAAACTCCTATTAAAAAAAATACAAACTCCTAAGAATTGAAGAAGGTAAACATAAAAACAACTATGCAGATAAGCATATATTTAAATATCAATAAAATTCAATACCAGGTTTAGAATCCAGAGTCTTTAGGTTCTTCAGTTTTTTCACTTTAACTTGCTTAGGAATTTCACCTGAAAGAAATAACATAAACATTCTTCTAATTATAATCATAATGTATTATAAAATTAGAATTTTATAAGATTAATAATCTATGGGCTATACATTAATTAGAAGTGTCACAGTTAAAACATTTTTCTTAACATTAATAAATATTTAAGAATTTATGCTTGGTATCTTAAAACTGGAAAAGGAAATATTGGATTCTTGTAACAGTACAGAAATATTAATGATCTTTCATTAATATATATCTATCATTACTTAAAATTTTCCCTTTTTGTTACTCAATCCATAATTTAAAATTTATGTGTCAAATACATGAAATTGAAAAAAATTTTTTTTGATACTGGGAATTGAACTCATGACCTTGCACTTACCAGGGAGGTGCTGTGCCACTGAGCTATATCCCTGGCCCTTAAAATTTAAATTTTAAATGCCAAATAGGAATAAAATATTCTTTTAGAGAAATGGAGAAGAAAGAAATTCCTAAGGGACTACAAGATACCATATTCAAAATGTTTTTTCTGGTATCTCTCCAAATCCTGCTTTTGCATTTAAAACAGCACTGCCACCAAGTGGGGATAGCGTGTGCAAACACAGGTCTGAGCCACACAGAGGAATGCAGCTGCATGCTGAGCAGTCTGCAGAATCCACAATGGCAGCCCTGATGGGAGGGGAAGCTACAAACTAAACAACTCATAAAATGCAAAAAAGTACTTCAGGGCACATATTTAAAAATGACATGAACACACCTACTTTACTAGATTTTTTCTTTCTTCCCTTCTCTGGTGTCCCTCTCTGTGCAGAAAAGTAAAAGACCTAAGAAAAGGCAAAAAATATAGCTCAGTAGCATAGGGCCTGCCTGGCAAACGCAAAGTCAGGAGTTCAATTCCCTGTTCAAAACAACAACAACAACAACAAAAAAAGAACCTCAGAAAGGAAAGACAAGCTGGAGACTGTCTAATTTAAGCCTCTAAATTTATAACAGTTTTATGTACATTATTACAAGAGCAAACTGCTAGTTTGAATATACATAGGAGTGAGATTATTTGAATAGGGAACATTTTCACTGGTGATGATATTGTTTAAAAACTTTAAGAGCATGTATTATTTATATTTCTATAACTTTTTACTTTGAAATAATTTCAGTCTTACAGAGCTGAAAAGTGATACTGTCAACTTCCCTGATTACATTAAACAGGATCTTGTTAAAGAAGCAAAATCAGATATACTTATTTTTTAATGCAGCAAAAATTAGTAAATTCAAGATACCTTTAATACAGAAATAAAACAGCTAGCTTGTGAAGGGGAACTTATAGTCTAATACCAAAATATGACAAAGAAAATGTCAACACAGAGGAATATGTGCTAAGGTAGAACTACAGACAGGCTGGGCACGATCACATACAGCTGTAACCCCAGCTACGCTGGAGGCTAAGGCAAAGGGATCACAAGTGTGAGGCCAGCCAAAAAAACTAGCCCAACCCTGTCTGAAGATAATTAGCAGGACTGGGGATATTGCTCAGTGATAATTAGCAGGACTGGAGATATTGCTCAGTGATACAGCACTGTCAAGGTTCAATTCTGAGAGCTGGGGGGTGGGGCAAGAAGGGAGAGAAAGAGGCAAGTAGAGAGACAGATGAACAGACACAGTGAGACAGACACAGAAGAGAGACACAGAGAGTATAGAAGAACAATGAGCTGGGCAATTATTGGGGATTCCTAAGGGAGGTGTCACTTAAGCACTCTTATACAAGAAATAAAAGGCTATCTGTGGGAAAAAGGAAAAACCTTTTAGGTAGAGTTAAATCCAGAAGCATGAAGAGCATGCTGCTTAAAGAATGATTCACAAGGGCTGGGGATTTAGCTCAGCGGCATAAGCGCCTGCCTTGCAAGCAGGCAGTCGTGAGTTTGATCCCTGGTACTGATAAAAACGAAAAAGACAAAAAAAAAAAAAAAAAAAAAGATACACACTGGTAAGGAAAAGTAACCATTCACTAAACATTTATTCTATGCCAATATTGGCTCTAGGAAGACTGCACAAATTGTTGCACTTAATTTTAATGATAAAAATATGAAAGCTGGGCATGGTGGTGCATGCCTATAATCTTAGCAATTGGAGAGACTGAGGTAGGAGGATCCTTGTGAGTTTTGAGATCAGCCTGGGCTAACAAAGTGAGCTCAAGGCCAGCCTGAACTGCATAATGAGACTGTCTCAAAATGATGGGGAAGAAAAAAAATAAAAGAAAGGAAAGAAAGAAAAAAGAACGAACCAAAAACAAGACGTACTGCAGGGCAGAGGTAAAGAGGTACAGCTACGAGAGCTCTATGAGGCAATGCTTTTTGTCCCTTAGGAAGTAGAGAATACCTACTCAACAGAAAACAAAATTAAAATCACTTGTCTGCCTCTGACTCCAAGAATCAGAATATCAAAGCTCAAAACTATAATGGTAGGAGCGGGGGATACAGCTCAGCAGTGCAGTACCTGCCTGGCAAATACCACCAGATCCTAAGTTTGATTCCTGGTAGCTCCCCCTGCCCTAAAAAGAAACTCCACAATGGTTTGAGTAAGCATATTTTATTTCTTTTTACTCCAAGTCACAAAGACCAGCAACTCCTCTATTCACAAATGCTGTTATTACAAAATATTATTTCTAAAAATTCACTGCGTTAAGGTTATTGAATATCAGAGAGAATAACTGACCAGTAGGTTTCATATATTATTACCAATAAATTCTTGTTAGTAATAAAGAGCTGTATGCTTTTTTTTTTTTTTTGGTTCCGGGGATCGAACTCACAACCTTGCACTTGCCAAGCAGGTACTTATGCTGCTGAGCTAAACCCCTGGCCTGAGATGCATATGTTTTGTTTTTAAAAAGGGAGGCACCAAGAACCCAAAAATCTTTACACACACAATTCTCTGATTCTGTGAACCTTATCAGGTCTAGGGCAATGAACTGTTACCCTAGCCACACTACTTCTTGCACTGCACATATATAGATATTTAGAAAGAAAGATGCACTGTCTATTACAGAAAAGCCAGGTGTGACAGAACACACCTATGATCACAGCTTTTCAGGAGGCGGAGGCAGACGTTCAAGGCCAGCAGGGATCACTGAGCAAGATACTGCCTCAAAAGTAAAACAAAGTAAAATGTGCCAGGGCTAGAGCCAGTGGCAGAGTATGTACTTAGCACCTGTGAAGCACTGAGTTCAGTCTTCAGCACTGCAAACAAACAAAAATGAACAAACCAAAGTTCTATAACTGAAAATATTTATTTTTAAAGTACTGTACTTATTATTCCATGTCTACTGTGTATACTACCCACAAAAAAAAAATGGTTTAATTTAGAGTCATCCTTACAGTACCTTTGCATATTTGCACTTCTAGATACAAGCCAAATTTTTACCTTTCCTGTTGTGAAATCATCAAACCCAATTTCTGGTCAGAAATGATCAGTTTGTAATCTCAATATAAAGCAGCAGAATTTATATTCTATGTAAGTAAAATATGTTAAGTATCATAACCCTAAAATGATGTTTCTTCATTTCATTTAACAGGACATGGATAAACTAAACAGACACAATCTAGAAAGAGCAGTGTCTTCATATGAGAAGGAATGACTGTTTTGCAGAGTTAAAACCAAATATCATTTCTAGTAAAGCTAGGAACTTTGGACTCATATTTTTGTTGTACTTTCTCTCCTGGTCTGAATAAGGCTTTTTTCTAGCCAGGGATAGTGGTATACACACGTAATCCTAGTATTTCAGGTGAATAAGGCAGGGACAAGTTTAAGTCCAACCTGAGCAACCTGACAACTTAGCTAACTCTGGTCTCAGAATAAAAATAAACTAAAATTTAAAAAAAAAATTGAGATGTAACTCTTAGAAACCACTAAATTTCATCCCCTATACGGACAAAGTTAAAAATAAATAAAATAAATAAGAAGAAGAAAGGGGAAGGGAGATATTTTTTCTATATCTTTACTGACCCTCTGAGATTGTTCTGAAAGCCAGAATCCAAAGCAGGGTTTTATGGTGCTTAATCTATGTAGCATATGCAACGCAGCTGGTCTGGAGATTACAAAATGTAAAACAAATACTTCAAACACTCAAAGTAAAGTAAAAGACAAATGGAATTCAATAGCTATGACACCAAAGTGATTAGAAGAAAAATAGATAAACTGACTTCCATGAAAACTGAAAACACTTGTGTACCAAGAGTACTACAGAATCAAGCATCACAGTGCATATCTCCCCAGGGCTCAGGAGGCTGAGGCAGGAGGATTGCAGTTAAGTTTGAGGCCAGCCTCAGCTACACAGTGAGTTGGAAGTCAGCCTGAACTTCACATAAAACCTGATTTCAAAAATGCGAGATAGACCCATTCTGGTTGACTATTATCTTCTTTTAAAGTCCTGTAAATGTCTCCAATGTTTTGGTTTTATTCTTTACTGTTTTGCTCAATTTTATTATAACTGAGGATATAGGCAATTCTTTTTAAGATAGCAAGAGGCAGTATGGTAACCATTGTTGATCACCTTGTATTTTGTTTTTACATTATCTATTATGTCCATCCTTTTGATTTGACTGACTCTGTTCTATTATGTCACTTATTTGGTTTTACTCTCTTCAAACAAAAGTAATAAGAACTGTGGGAGTAATAAAACCCAAAATGTGTAACTGTCATTGTACAAAAGAAAGGAAAAGAAAGTGTTCTAAAGGATATAACTGCATATATATTTAAGTGTATAAGATAGATAACCATATTACTGAGTTTTGTTGGATCATTGAACAAAACTGTTTGCAGTCTCACTGTTTGAAAGTCCACTTTATATGCTTTAATTTTGTAACTTGAACAACTATTTCTAAGATAACAATATGTAATCTATTAACTAGTGATTTCCTACTGTTCATTCTTTCTGAAATTCTGTATAACTTGTACTCTTTTTCTCCTTAAATTAAAAAAAAAAGCGAGATAGTGACAGAGAGATTGAGAAGAAGGGAGGGAGGAAGG